CGGTGGATGAGGGAAGAGTGACTGATGTCATCTATCTGGACTTGTACAAAATATTTGACACTGTCCTGCAGGGTATCTTTGTCTCTAAATTGGATAGACAGGGATTTGACAGATAGACCACTCAGTAGATAAGGATTTGGTTGGATAGTAACACTCAAAGAGCTGCAGTCAACAACATGAAATGAGTAAAGTTCCATTTCAGAGCTAGGAATTTCCCTGAGTTTTATTCACATGAATCAATAACAGTAACACAGATCTGATCTCCCTTTGTGTAGGTTTGGGGACTTCACAACATTGACAACCCCATCCGCATTGCCTCCCCGCTGTTCAGCTGAAGGTGCCAGTCTGGGATAAACAAGGGTGAGCTCAAATCCCCAAGGGAACCTACTAGTTGAGTTTCACCCATTCAGTACTACTCTCACTGCAGAGAGAAGGCAGTATAACATATAGCAGCATAAATGGAGGTTTCATTCTGTCAGCCTTCATTAAAAGCACTCCCCCACTCAGATTGGAACTCGTGGAATAGAAGTAGGAGCACTGGCATCTGATTTTGAATGATGTGAGAATGCTAAACCACTTTCCTCAGCAGAGACAAAAACACCTTTGTAAGGTGTGGAGTTTCATGAGAACTGTAGTGTTATCCAATCGTTTGTTTGTTTGTTTAGTTTTGGAGTCATGGGTACTTCTTTGAATTTCAGTAGGGAGGCCTGTCTATACTCTAAGCTCTGCTTTCAGTGTGTGCATGCTGATTGCATTTAATTAAGATCCTTACACATCAGTTTTGAGGTTTTTGATGAATGTGTTGGAATTCTTCAGTGGAAAATAGTGATTGGAACAGCATAGGAGAAAATAGCTGGAGACAAAATGCATACATACATAAAGAAAGTGGAAATGACAAAGGAAACGAAGAAATCACACAAATGTCATGCATTTTTATTAATTTTAAAACTTAAAAAATGCTTATAATAACTGAAATAATGTGAAACTGACCTTGAATAATAGGAATAATACCTTTAGTCATAAAGGTAAATATAAACCAAATTTCCTCAGTTGAAGTTACTGACCCTGAATACTCCTACTAACATGAAACAGAGTTTTAATGCCACAGAAGTTCTACTTACCCACTTTGGCAAGTATAGCCACTTCAGACATGAAATTCATTCCCTGGAAAGGGCATAGAAGGAATTACAGGGGGGATACATCGAAAAAAATCCTAGAGTATATTCAACCATTTTGTGGTGGTTTTTGGGTTGGTTTTTTTTGTTTGTTTGCTTTGATTTGTTTTGGGTTTTTTTGGTTTTTTTTCAGGCACCCTGCAATCTGGTTTCGTTTTCATAAAAAATTTCTTGTGGGCAAATCTGAAGACATATGTATTCTGCAATCTTTTAGCCACATCTGATGCACCCCATTACTCACATAAATCTCCATAAATAAGTAAGATTTCATGTTCCCCTTTTATACTCTTCTTGCAAGCATTCTCCTCAGACCTCCGTATTCTGTCTCCTGGTCAGACGAAACTAGATCTTATAGACACTTCCAATCGTAGATTCTAAATCTAAATCTAAGGTAAGAATCCTTAGTCAGGGATTGAGTATATGGAATAACGTTGAAGTTTCAGAGCTAGGTTCAGTTTGGGACTTCTGATTTTTCCCAGTTAATAAGAGCTGAGGGTTGATTCCTTGCACAGACCAGAAGAGTCTTGGAGGTGTTAGGTATTTCAGTGTCTATACCTATGCACAACCAAGACTCAAAAATTAGTCACAGATTCCTTGAAAGCACACTGGTACGATATAGATATCCCTCTGAGGAATAGGTTCACTTTGAAATCTATGCAGAGAAGTGGACTCATCCTAATGACTCCACAACCACAAAATATCCATTTTTTTTAAATTATTTTTTTTTTTGTCTTAGAGATTACTTTGCAAGAAAACAGGTGCCTGGCTTATCTTGGTCAATACAACATCACCTTCTTCTCCGTACTCTGTCTTTTATTGTGTTGCCTGTGTCCTACATGGTTTATTCATTCTGGAGCTGAGGAGCCGTATTCCCGTAGCCTCCTTATTTTCAGTCTGAAAGTGTTAGGGTGGTTATCTCACTCTTTAGAGACACTGATCACACCTGGAGACTTACCCTGCAATTTTCTTTATGCATGAGCTGCTCAGAGTGCAGAGATAGAGAACATGTTCAGCCTTGCCCAATGTGTTAGTATCTATAGGTTCTACTGCCACAAAAGTAATGAATGTTACCAATAGTGGGCTTATAAAACGTAGTCATTATGTCTCCTTATTCAGGTACTGGTTTATTTATGTTTTGCTGGTGCTGTTGCAAACAGGTAAAGAAAGCTTTCATTTTATTAACTTTTAAAATAGTGTCAAAATAGTCGGTGAAATTTCTTGGTAGGGGAATAATAATCTACCACCAGTGGAGAAAACTGTGTAAAATGATGGAACTGGAGGAGAAGAGAAAGGGGAGGAAGAGAGCAAGAGAAAAGAACCTTTTATATACCTGTGTTTATTAGGACCCTGTTTAAAGGGTCAACAAGAGGCATTAGGAATGTAAGTGCCTTGGCCACCCCCACCCATTCTGTTTACCTCTTTTAATCTTTGATCCAGCTGCTCCAAACATCTGGCACAGTGAACTCTGGCTCTGGGCTATGATTTACAGGGAGTCCTTGGGGATGTGTGTTTAGGAGCTTTTTTGCATTCCCCGTTGCTTCTACACAAATCTTTGTGTCCTTCTTGTGTGGGGATCATTTATCTCATCTGCTGTGGGTCACCCACCATCCTGCCAGCCAACTGGTTCTCTCTGTTGGCAATGAGAGGTGGCTGCTTTCTGACTCCCTTATCACACACAGTCCCAGGAGAAGACAGACAACTGCTATGACAGCCCAGCAAACCAATGGCACCTCTCCTCTCCCCTGATTCCTCCAGCATTTCTTCCTTCGAGCCTCCTGTGCACAGTAATACCACTTTGTTTTTGGTCTCATCTTTCCCTTCTGCAGACACATCCCTCCCCTCCTTCTGTAATCTGTGCCTTCTCTGCAAATATATTTCCCCTATTCTTGTCTGTCTCCAGGTTCCTGACCTTCTAGCAATTTCAGTCCATGGTTAATGGGAAAGACAACGTCTGAGAGGACCCTGGGTGTAGGGAGGAAGAGAAAAGATGGTCCTTACCTATCACCCCACCAGGTCAGTGACAAGAATGGTAACTAGTGGTATCTCTCCTATCATGTAATTAATCTGCCTTCATCCCTTCAAGCACCAGCACCAGCTCTTGGAACTGCATAGAGGGAACAAACTGGTACAGGCACACACCCTCACAGTGTCCTCTGCTTAAAAACTGGCCTCTGCCAGTGACTGAAGAAACCAGGAGGGTTGGGCAAGAATGTGAAGCAGGTGCCATCTGATGGGCTCCCAGCCAGCCCCAGGCTGGGACTAAAGGAGGATGTGAAGGAAAAAAACCAGGCTCCACACCTGGTAAGGACATGTGGGATCTCTATCCTTCATGCTTGGGGATGAAAGCAGCAGTCAAGCTGGTAATCTGGTGGAAGAGAAACAGCAATAAAGGGATCACAGGGAATTAGGTTCATGGTTGGAGCCATAGCAAGACTATCCCTCTTCCTCTATTCCACAACAACTGTTAAGTTGTTAAGTTGTTAATTCAAGTTAACTCAGGGGGGAAGGGGTGTGGAGGAGGATAAGGTGCAGGTTGGATGTGGCAGTGCAGTCGCACTGGGGCAGCTACACCAAGTAGCAGGATTTGGGTCATTCAGCAGTTGCTTAAAAAAAAAAAAGATAATATTTTAAGCAGCAACCCAGAGAGGGGGGAACCAGCAGGGAGCATCAAGCTGTGGAGCAGTGGCAAAGACTGTTAATTCTCGAAAATGGATGCACAAGCTAATCCTTCCCTGCAAATACAGGCTGGTAAATGCTCAGACCCAGCAGCCTTTTAAATGCCACACCAGCTCTTACTTAAATGACATTTTGTTTTATTATTTATTTATTTTATTTTACTTTATTTATTTATTTGCTAAGAATAGCTTTGAATAAAGAGATGATCTCTGTCTAGCATTGTGTTGTGAGGGTTCCTTGGTGTTTGCTGTTGTTGCAATAGAGTGCAGGGAAGTGTTGAGTTTGTCGGGGCTCAGGCTACCTCGGACCCCTCCCACCCACCCATGTGTACCCATACATCCCCACCCCAAGCTCAGAGCTGTCGTGTCCAGCCCTGTGCCAGGGGTCCATGCCCACCCCAGGCAGAGGAAAGGATCACTGCAGTGCTGTGTTGTGCAGCGGGCTGGAGAGGAGCGGGACGGCTGGGTGTGAATGGGAGCAGGAGCCGGGTGTGTGGGGCTGAGCCGTGAGACGGGGGAGAGAGGAAAGGGGGAGGATTTAGGAGAATGCAGTGATACCAGAGGAGAAGGCAAAGCTTTGGTTGACTTCAGGAGGGAAGGGTTAATCGAGGCAAGGTAGATGTGCGGGCAGCAGATAGCATGGGAGAGAGTTGGTGTGGGGTTTGTGGGAGGGTGGGGAAGCAAGAAGGACCGTAGGGTACCGAGCTTTTGGGCAGAAGGTAGTCAAATAAGAAGCCTGCCCGTAGGTCTGCAGATACGGTCCAGGGATGCTGGCTGTGGAGGCAGGAGGCTGGCGGGGAACTGCAGCGCCTCTGGGTCCAGGGAGCCCGGGTTGCTGGAGAGGAGGGAGCCCGGCAGGAAGGGGTGGCTGCAAGTGGCACCTGCCGTGGGGAGGAGCAGGGAGCAGCCGGCAGGGAACAGGAACAGGGGGGCACAACCCGCCGGTAGGGCTGGCAACTTCATCTGCCCTTGGCAGGGACATCAGTCCTCGTCTTGTCGGTGTTGTTGCTCTGCAGTCAAGGGAAGGGGCGAGGGCTGGAGAGGGCAACCTGTCCTTCCAGTGGCAAACAGTCCCTCCTTTCTGCTTGATATCGCTGTCCGTGTATGTGTGTAGTGGGGTAGTCGCTAGTCTCGCATCCCCCTCTCTCCCCGTGCCAGAGAGCAGCAGGCAGAGCCCGGGGCTGGCAGGCTGCTTGGTTTCCTGAAGGGATCTATGCCACTTGGTGGCACTAAAAAGTTGCGCTGAAGCCCGGTGCTCCTCCGTACGAAAAGCCTCCTAGACCCCAGCCCAGACCCGCAGGTGCGGCAGCAGAGCGCCCGGGACCCCAGCACCGCGACCCCAGGGACAGCAAACTTCGGCGAGGGCGGTTCGCAAACGGTAGCCGGGACCGCAGGGGTAAACTCTTCTCCGCGATTCGGTTTTAACCAGGTTTTTGTTTGGGTGTTTTTTGGTGGTTTTTTTGTTCGTTTGTTTGTTTGTTTTCCCCATTCGGATGCTGCTGCTCTGAACCGATCGCCGCTTTCTTACTTGCCAGGAAGGAGATGTCGGTTTGTAGGGGGACTTTGCAACCTTCAAAGCAGGGAAAAACGCAGGGTTAGCCCCTTCTAAATGCAGAGAGGTTGCTACCGTGCATGTGTGAGGAAGGGCAGAGGTGTCTAAGCAGGTGGGTCAAGCTGCAGTAAGTATTTAGGAAGACCAAGGCTATGGTGCCAGAGAGCATCTGTTGTTTCATCGTTTGTTTATTCCTCCTCCTCATGTCTTCCCCCTCCCTTAAATCCAGGAACCGTTCACGCCTCTTGCAAATGAGATTTGGGCGATTCTGAGAGAACAGCGTGTTGCATAGTGTGTGTGTATGTGCATGCATTCGCGGGGTAGGATACTCGGTCCTCAGTATTTGCCTGTGATCAGAAGAAAACAGGATGTGTCTATAGCTGGAGGAGTGACAATGCTAGCCCAGTGGGGCTCACCTGCTGGTGATCTTTGCAGAGGCATTTGAGGATTATTCAGCTCCAGAAGGTCTGTGTGAGGAGTGCTATTCTCTGCCGTGGCTGAAAATAGGAGGCGCCTACCCCTACCTGGCTTGATTATTGCCATCAAAAGGATCAGTTTGCCACACTGTGGGAAGAAGCATTTGCTGCCACGGACAAGGTAATGATGTGGGGTGGGAGAGGGTATTTGTGTGCCCTGGATTATGGATAGAAACCCTGTGGATGCAGGAGAGGCTCTTCCACCCTCTCTCTCCCTTTCTCTTGTTTTTGTGCTGTGCCCTGGTTGCTGAAGGACCAGTACAACTCCTGGTGGACCAGCAAGCCAACTGGTGTGGTACCTCTCTAGGGGTTGCTGGGGCATCAGGGTGTCGGGGTGCTGGAGGGAAGCAGGCACTGATCCTTCCCCAGGAGCAGGATATGTGTGGAGCTGCAGGGGGCTGGGGTACTATAATACCTGGGCTTGGTGATGGGTGTGATATTGTCCTTCCGTTCACAAGTGGAGATTTGTCTTGCTAGGAAGGTGTAATGGAAACGGGAATGTATTTGTTTGCCAGGGACAGCCAGGCTTAGCTCAGCCATAGACTTTTCTGTGTGACCTTGGGACAAATCACTTGGCTCTGCTCAGCGAACCCTGTCTGTTCCTTATTTAGTAATTGAAGGTAATGTCTCCATGTACAAAAATGATTCACTATGGACTGAGAGGGACAGTGATACCGCTATCCGAACAGGGAGATAGAGACCTAAGAACCAGTCTGCTTGCACAGATATATACGTCTGTGTGCACAGCCACTTAGTTGTGGCAGTGCAGGCTATGCTGGGAGTTAACCTTACCCAATAGTATCCTCCAAGACCCAGCTCTATTTATTTAATTAATTTGTAAAAATGTGATTCTGCATGCCAAATGTGACCACTGTGGCAATTTTTACCACTGGTTGATTTTTAGGCTGATTGGTTTTTTGCCTTCCCCTTCCATAGACCTGCACAGAGGCGAAAGCCGGAGGCGAGCGGTGCTCAGCACCAAGGACAGCGTCCGCTGCCCGCCTCCCGCTGTCCGTTCCCTTCCCCGCCCCTGCCCCCGGCCCCCAGGCAGCTCTGTCCCGCACCCTGGGGCTCCGCCACCCAGGCAGTCCCACTCCCATCCGATCCCTTTTCTGAGAAACAATTTCCGGTGATGGGGAGGGGGTGACTGGGTGTACTGGGAGCCAGGACGCTTCTTTCTTCTAAGTCTTGAGGACAAAGTAGGGGGTCATCTTGAAAGTGGCAGAGGCACATGTTGAAAATGCACCACTCTAAATTCTGAAAGGGAAAGATGCATAGAGGCTGTTATGCTCTTTAAATTTCCTATGACTTTTTTTCTTTTTTTTTTTTTTTAAACCGTATTCCTAAACATTTCTATCACATGCTGATATTTTGTGAATTATAAAATACTTTGACTACATCCTAATTTTTATGTTACACAATCACAGCATTAATAGTTACTTCAAATGTTCAGAGAGTACTTTTTAGGGTCTCTATATAGATTTCTTTTCATTCTATTTTCCGACGCAGCTGTGGTGATCTTGGCATAGTGGTAGTGCTGGAATCCCACCATAACCACTCCTGTTGCGACTTGCTGAAATATGTTTTTTGGATCTGCTATTGCTTTTTTTCTTGATCACCTCCTCCAGACCATACAGTTTTATTAATTAATAAAATTTCTAGGATTACAGATGAAAACACACCTGAGCTATTAGTTCCTGCATCATATGGTGTAACTGGTTTTTGGTAACAGCAGCAGTAAGCAGTGTATTTGGTGGAATTGCAGAGATCATTGAAAGTTTCCCTGGGAATTTAAACACCTACATACTAAAACCAAAATTGTTTCATCAACCAGAAAGTGCACGTGTGTGGGCATAGCATGGGGAAGAACTTCCTGGTATTGCTAAGGATCTTGTTGATAATTATAACATTCTCTGTTTATTAGCTATGAAGACATAAGATCAGCACATTAGTCTGTTATTTTCAGTGGCTGTTCTGATCAAATGGTGAAAATTCTTCCTTGCTGCTTAGTTTTTTCTCCTATTTCTAAGTGGAATTATAGAAAACTGTTTCATAGTCTCTCCTGTTCTATAAGACTGTTTTCTTTCTCAAAGAACTTGATCCAGTGCCCACTGAAATTCATAGAGCTGATAATGCAATGACAGTGGTAGAAATCTCAAAACAGAACAGGATGTTCATATTTCATGCTTTTCAAATAAAGATCATTTAAGTGCATCAGGTTTTCTTTAACTGAACTAAATTACCTCTGAGGAAGGGGTATGGGGTACCTTCTGCAAAGCGAGCCTCCCTTGAGCTGCCAGAACAGCTTGAACCCAATGTTTAGAGTTTGCAATGCCAATAGCCAGCAGAACTCAGCATGCCTTAGCATCCTGAGTGTACACTTTTTCCTGACGTTGGTCCCAACTGACATGAGCTGAGAGGTCTCCCTCCATATGTAATTGTTTTTCTAAGACTGTTCCATGTTTTGCTAGTGAAAGATCTTCACTGCGAGATAAGTGACATGACTGACTCTGGACCAGTAATTCAGTTTCTGCTTGCTAAGGTTTTGTCTTCTCTGACGACAAAACCTCAGTTAATTCCTTGTGATATACTGATTTGGTCCATATCAACACATATTATCTCATATCTAATGGATTTAAATTAGTTGTGGTTTATACTGTAAATGAATGCTTGGAAAGAATTTACTCAGCAGGTATATGGCTGTAAGTTATACAAATATAGCATATAAATAAATTTTGTCACTACAAATGAATGGATTTTAAGGATGCTAGTTTTTGTGATTGTTCTGATCCTGAAAATCCTTTAAGAAGAACCTTAAACTTTAGATAAGTCTTTATAGATATTTGACCAATAGTATTCTTCATCTGATAAGCAATGAATATGTTCCTGAGTGCTTTGCTGGATTGGACCATGAGTTCTAACTCTATCACAGCACTGTTCTGCGATTCAGTAATCTGACATTTTATTTTTAATATTTAAATCTGCTTTAAGATTCAGAGGTTATGAACGAGCAGGCTGTAAACTTACAAAATTGTAACAAAGAAGAAATCTGAACCAAAGCATTTCTACTCCTGTCTTTTGATTATTTTTTTTCATGAAGTAGAAAAGAATAAATTTAAAAAAATCCCTTTGCTGAATTCGTGTTTTACCTATTAGAAACTACAGAGCCAAGAGGATTCAGGCTGCAAAGCAGACAGGTGCTTCACTCTGGGGTCACTAGTGGGCGCTGCTATAATAATGTAAGTCACAGCAGGAAAGGGTGTCATCCTTCAGGTTTAAACACAGTTACACGTGCGGTAGCAGAAGCCCTTAAGAACAGTCAGACGTGCTCCATGTATAAACTCTCAGCCACGTACATACTGGAAAATCAGCCCTTTGTGAACTGTTGTTCATAGTCTGGTTTTTGATCAAAATTAATTTAGTGCCCTTAGATATTAATGCTTTTTTGTTTCTTTTGATCTGTACAGACTACAAGTACAGGTGGACTTGCATTTGAGATTGAAATAATTTTGAAAGATTTATATTTTTTTAATGATGAAAGATTTGCGTGATGTTTCATGGAATATTACAGATGCTCATTTTCTACTCAGTTAAACCTCAACATGAAGTAGCTGGAACTCTGCCCTAAGGCTACAGCTGAGAATCAGAGATTGGCATGAAGCTTTTCTTGCCAGGGAGAACAGAGGTTATAGGAACATGTTGAGTGTTTCATCAGATCTGTGTCTTCAACCATCTGGGTAGCCCTTAAATTTTTGTCTGTGGCAAGACTGAGCAAAGGACAGATAGGCAGAGTTATTTTTTTGTCTCACTACTTCTGCAATTGCTCCAAGTGTGAAGCTAATGCACCAGAAGACTGAGACCAAAGTATCTGTCATCTATTGTTAAAGTGTATGAATTCAGGATTAATTTATAGTTAGATTCACAACCAAAATAAACTAGGAACCTTGATACACCGGTAATTAGGTACCTGATTTAATTTTGCCTATGTTGCAGTAAATTTAGGGTAAGTCCATTGATGCTGAAGAAATTAACAGTGTGTAAAATAAATTTGACCATAAGTGCTGTGCATGTTGTCCATCAATGAAAGCAAGTAAAAGAAGATAAATTAGTAATTGGGAAACGATTCCCATTACAGTTCACTGTCTTTGATATTGCTGATAGCTCTGTTCTCAGTCTGAAGGCTATAGCATGTCAAATTCCCTTTAGGGTTATCCCTAACAATTTAAAGAGGAGTTATATTTAAGCTTATAAAATTTTACTTAATTTTATTTTAGTATTCATCCTGCTTGTAATAATAAGTTTCCTATAGTAAGAGAGAATGGTAATCAGAAGGAGAAGTGACTTTTGTGTGATTCTCTTGGGACAGAAGCACAGTAAGATTGTATATTTGAATAGTTCCCTCGGCTGTATTCTCTTCAGGAGGATGTTCTCCAGGAAATGTAATTAGTGCACTTAGTCTATCAGCTCTGCTCAGTCTATCAGCTCTTTGACCTAAAGTGGGATTTTTTACCTGATTACTCTCATGGTATCTTCGCATGACATGGCCAGCTGTATCCATCAGAAGGATGACAGACAAGAAGAACAAGTTGAAATACAGGAAATTCTGTTTAAATATATTAAAAATACCAGTCCTTTTTACTATGACTGTGGCCAAATGGTTTGCCCAGAAAAGTTGTGGAGGCTCTATCCTCAGAGATATTGAAAAGCTGACTGGACATGAAGCTAGGAAATCTGCTTTACTTGAACTTAGAATAAGCGGGGTGGATGGACCAGATAACTTCCTGAAGTGCCTTTCCACCTCAACTATTCTGTGATTTTTATGTTTATGAGCACAAGAGTATGCTCACAGAACCAGATCTCTATTATACAAATAAAAATCCATTGAAATTTAGTAGGCTCACTTAGCCATGTCAATATAAATTCCAGATTGCTTCATTACATCACGAAATCCCACAAAAAAACCACATCGACTTTGGGTACTTGGATGCAAGTCCTAAGCCTTGCAGTGTTCTCAGGTCCCAAGTAAATTAAATTTCACTTTAGTACAGTGAAGAAAGTTCATTAACTGTAGAGCAACTGCAGTCTGCATCTGACTCCTTCTTTTCCCTTGGATGCCATGGAGTTGAAGGATTTTATTGCTTTCAGAACCCACTTTTGGGCCATAGGAATCCCCCAGCTATGATATATGCCAATATTATGGAACTAGAAATATAAAGGAGACTTTCAGCTTTGCCTCACTCTTTACCCTGTAATTTTATACTGATAGATACAACTGTAGATAGAAAAAGGTAAACAGCTGTTCTTTGGAGTGAAGGAGAGAAAAATGGCCTTACTGCCCCTCTCTTCCCCATATATCCTGTATGGAAATTATTTAATTCATAGACATAAGACCAAGAAATTTGGTCAATGTGTGTTGTAGAACTAAAATGGTGGATGGGCATTGGATACTTTTTTCAGTCCACAAGCTCACCCTAACCCTCTGAACTCTCTCTCTTTGTACATATGCAGATTCACAGACAACTTGGTTATAAAACGGCATCTAATTGTATATCCAGTTACAATCTGAGGCAGAGTTGGCATTTCTCTAAATATACTTGTGGTCTGGACACATAGCCTTAATTTGAGAAGCTCAGAAAAATAAGGATCCACGGTTTTAAATAACAGAGTACTATTTCTGTCCAAATGTTAGTAAGTTAATAAATAATTAAATATTTTTAAAGTGATAATACATTCAATTAATTAAAGCCATAGGAATTTAATAGTTTTGATATTGTAAAAAGATATCCCCTGTCATTTGTCCTTCAGACTGTTTTCAAATTATATGGTACCGACTTCAGAGACATGGAACAAACAATTGCAAGACGTAAGCAATAGTGATAGCCTGTAATTAGAGACTAATTAACCTGAACTGAACTATTGTTATTCCTTAGTGGCAAAGGGTTACAGTATTGATAAGCCAACTCTTCACAGACTAAAAAAACACAAACCTTTTTGAAGTGTTTTACAGTTGTCTGACTTTTATATTATTATTAGGATTTTATAATATTAAAAATTAATATTACATGGACCTAACAATATTGTGATTAACATTAAAAAAATATATTTAATATTTTCTCTTTTTAAGGATTTAGATTTTATTTGGGAATACTCACTGAAACTATGGCATGATTTCCCCTGTGTAAATACTTTATAATTTATAGATGTCTAGGTAAAATAATAATTGAACAAACCTAACATCAAACAGAAAAGAGTTTTTAGATTTGCATGTCTCATCTTCAGAATAGAGTTTTACTTGGCACTATACTGAATGACCTAGCTGTGAGGAGTAAATTCAAGATTAAAACACTATGAGATTTTCAACCTGGAAGAAACAGAGGTAGATTTCCTATGGCAAGGGTTTCTTTCACTTTACAGTATCTAGATCGTATCAGAGTCATTAGTAATGGATTAGAAATGATTGGTGGTGTCTGAAATTTATGGAGATTTTTTATTTTTTTATTGCATCAAAAGATTTATGTTGATAAAACTGAGGTCAGGCTCTGCCCCATAATTTTTCAGTTGTTTTGTCAATAATGAAACTGGGCATATGGTTCACTAAACAGCTCAGCATTTTCCTAGATTTCTCTGCTATCAATGTATTCACTGGCAGGTGCGGAGCAATAGATAGTACTTTAATGTGCTCTGGGGTCAAGACTTGGACAAACCACTGTTTAAGCACTATATTTAAATCAAGAAGCATTCTTCTGCAAATCCACTACTAGATGTAGAACATTTTCAATCTCCATTAACCACAGCCCGAGATGTGAAGTATTTTCTGTTTTTTTTTTTTTATCCTTCAGCAACACTAGAGATGGGTACAGGTTGCGTTGCAGACTGTCAGTAAATGTAACTGATCAAATATTTTAGGCATCAGTGCACATGTATAGTCTCTGTGTTGCCTTCTTTCTACCAGTGTAGTTTATAGTTTACAAGGACTTTTCAAATTGTTTTTTGGCAATTTTTGAAGTAATAATATAAAAAGATTAAAATAATTTCACTACACTGCTGTTTTCTAATTACTGTTCCTTTGCTTAAAACAAATATAAATATTAATATCAAACAATTTTCTTAATCTTAACTTATTTTAAAAGTTATTTTGTTTCAAGTTGTGTATTGCAATGAAAAAATAGGTTTACAGATTCTGCATTCCTTAGAGTAACAGCTTTCTGTGTCAACAACCGCTTCCTAATGCTGTAGCTGATAATAGAGTACAGCCCAAGGTATATTAGTGGGATGTATGTATTTGAGATATAGAAAGTGTCTGAAATTAAAGGCAGTTGTTTTTGAATTCTTCTGTGGAAGTAAATACTTGCCTGTCTTTAGCGCTTTTGAAAACATTTCCCCAAAGAATTTTTAAACAAGAGTGTCAAAGAGAAAGACGTTGGTTTATACTAGTAGAAGTTCAAGCCTAGGGTTGTGAAACACTAAAGTGTGATAAAGTTTTCCAGCTTGAAAATGATGAAAGCAAGCGTACATAGGGGAAAATGTATTACAGTCATTGACAGCAGTAGGAATAGGTGGGATCTTACAAGAGATTTTAAAGTTGACTTTGTAAATAATTTTAAAGCTCTTTCTCTTATTTATTCATTTTTGAAGGTTATGAGGATTATTACCACATGTGCAGCTCTGCATAGGTATCCACGCGGAGATGATGGTGACTCCTTAGAGAATACAAGCAAACTCCTAACTAAGCATCAGCATAGTGCTTTTTTTATCCAAAAGATTTGATAACTGCTTTTTACCAGCTCTCCAACTTTATTCCATCATGCTGTCTCTACCAGCCTAAACGATTTCCTAAAATGATCCTTTTGCTGTTCCTTGCAATCCTGCTGTTGAAGGAAGATGTCTGTGGGAACTTTGGGCTTTTGGTTTCAGCACAGGCAAATGAAAGAAGGGTGGTTGCACACATGCCTGGTGATATTATCATTGGAGCTCTATTCTCTGTCCATCATCAACCAACTGTTGACAAGGTTCACGAGAGGAAATGTGGAGAGGTAAGAGAGCAGTATGGCATTCAAAGAGTGGAGGCAATGTTACATACCCTTGACAGAATTAATTTGGACCCCACACTGTTGCCAAATATAACTCTAGGATGTGAAATAAGGGACTCCTGCTGGCATTCTGCTGTGGCTCTGGAGCAGAGCATTGAGTTTATAAGAGACTCTCTTATTTCATCAGAAGAGGAGGAAGGGATGGTGCGATGTGTGGATGGAACATCGTCGTCTTTCCACTCCAAGAAACCCATTGTTGGTGTCATTGGACCTGGCTCTAGCTCTGTTGCTATCCAGGTCCAGAACTTGTTGCAGCTTTTCAATATACCTCAGATTGCTTATTCTGCCACAAGTATGGACCTAAGCGATAAAACTCTGTTCAAGTATTTTATGAGAGTTGTGCCATCTGATGCACAGCAAGCAAAGGCTATGGTGGACATTGTCAAACGCTATAACTGGACCTATGTTTCTGCTGTACATACTGAAGGTAAGAGGTTGTTTTTTAACATATAAGAATGCCTTTGAACCACTTTGATGTTGTCTAATAGATGGATGATGATGTTGGGGTTTTGCCAGTCAGTTGTCAACAGTATAGACTTTACTTAATAATAACTTCACATTCTCTGTGGGTCTGAAGTGGCATAATTTCGTCAATGGCTGAAAACAAAGTTTGAAACACAGGATTGTATGTGCTCTAGGCTACTTATTAGTAAAAGTGCTTGCTCTGAAGTCTCCTAAGTGACCTTAATTTAATTTAGTAGGCGTTTATTTATTTTTCTTTATCTACCAATTAGTGTATTTATGTAAAATAATAATTTTGACTATATTAAGATCAATGGGTAGTGAGAAAGCATCTGGTCTTCATAGTGCAGATGACAGTTAAATCATAATTTGAAACTATAGCTGAGTCAGAATGCATTTCCGCTTAATATCTGAGCTACAGAGGCACAGATACTAGAAAACATGCAATTCTACCTAATACCTGAATGGAAGTTGTCCTATCTCCTTGAGATCAGAACTGCTTCCATCCTTTTTATGATATTCCATAAAGTATAGAACTGACTTCTTGCTCCATATCTACATTGGTTTTGTGAGAAAGCAAGGCAAGTCTCCTTGCATCTTCTTCACAGAGTTATGCTCCATGTCTGCTAAATTGCTTTTATCAGGTGTCCAGAAAATCAGAACTGTGGGCTAGATTGCTTTCCTCTTTTTGTTTGCTAGAGATAGAACTTAAGCCTTTTACCCAGTGTTCATAAAGAATATGATTAAGGGGACATGCTATAGGAAAGCTTACTTAATTTTGTTATTTCTTGTACTGGCAGAGTTGAGTGGTTTCATCTTGTTATAAGTGACTAGAATTTCATACTGTCTTAAGAGCGGATTTCATCAGCCCCTAACTAATGACACGACCATTTAATGAATTTTACAGAATTAGGTTCTGTGATGAATTTTGAGACTTCATCATGTTGCCTCTGTTCAAACAGACAACATCTGAATGGAAGGCTCAGAATACAATCTGGAAGTGAAAAATGTTAAGAGAATGAGTAGTGGTGGCAACGCTGCTGAACAGCAGCAGATGCTGCTGGCTTTATACTGGTCCAATGCTAGTCTTGCATGCAGATTGATGCAATCATGTTTCCATCATGCTAGCGAAAGCTGGTAAATAACTGCAGCCTCTTTTGTATGGGGATGCATGAATATATTAGCAGTTTAATCTAAAACTTCGGTCTATAATGGCCAGTCTTCGTGAACGAAGATTTTGGGAAAGGTCTTTTACCTTTCCAGCCTGCGCAATGGGTTTTTTAGGTGAGACACAGCATGCGCTGAACTGAGCCCACCCTTTAATCCTAAGGTTCATCTGCCGGGGCCAAGCAAGCTTGGACAATGGCAGTGAGGTCCTCAGAACGTAGGTTTGTTTAGAGTGACCTTCTCATAGATGGATGGCCTCACAGGGCTAACGGGCTCCATCTGCCCGGGAGACTGGGATTCGAACCTGGGTTCAGTATATAAATCACTTTCTACATTATATAATCTAGTGAAGGTGTTCTGTACCAGCTGATGTCTTTTACATGGCTAGGTGTACAGCCTTGCCTTCACAAATATGTATGAACAGCATCATGGTAAAAAATAATGCCATTGACATATCACATTACCATAAGATTTTATATCCTGACTGCTTTTGACAACTCGTCTAGTTTTGTCTATGTACTACTTTTACACCTATCCTTATTGAGATGGGATGCTTTTATATTCTATGTGGGAATTCTCAAGCTTATATCAAGGTCTGATTCTTCACAGAGTGAAAATCCATACTTTACCACTTTCTGTGGACACTCTTTGGAGCAGATATAACATATGGCATATTAGTCTTACAGCAGAGAAACTTTGTACTGTGCATTGGAAAGAAGGGAATAGGGGAACAAGGGTTGGAGTGGGACATAGATGCTATGGTCAATACAAGAGAAGTAAATGAGAGAAGAGCTGAATGTGAAGAAGGAGAAATGATGAATGATATATGTAGTAGAACATGTCCCTGCTTCTGCCATTATTAATGTGGACAAGATAGGTGGTATGTTGTTAATACCTGAGGCTTCATTCATAGCATATTTACAGCAATATAATCCTGGACTTCAGTGAAAGAACATTAAACTTTGGTTCTGGGAACCTTATGATTCTATTATCTATTTGCATGGTGTGGTCATGATAATGAATAGGTTTTTCAGGTAAATAACATCACACAAATGTTTTATTACAATAGAACAGATGGTATTTATCATGGGATAGAAAAATACAAACTGAACAAGGTATTTCTTTGAAATGTGAAAAAGTCTGATGTTCTGGGCACTTTCCAAAGATTATGGCACAGGTAATCCCTTGCAGTAACAGATACTTTTTTTAAAAACACTGTTAAAACCCCTACATTTCATGCATTAAGCATACTCTTCTGAAATATGATGTTTGATTTCTGTGAAGGATTTCCAAGGAGGGGGAGGGTCCTCTCTTCCAAAGCTGGACGTGGAGAAAAGAAGATGCATAAAAAGTCTGGTTATTTAATTGCTTTCATAGTTCTATCAGCAGATAAATTTACAGATCTCTTTTTGATCCAGTGTAAGAAAAGTCTACTATACGTCAGTAGTTTCACAATAAAAGGCTTCTTGTTTGAATCTTTAAATTAAATATTATTAAATATTCATTTAATAATTATCTGTATTTTCAGTGGATTATTAAAATTCTGGGAGGTTAATCTGAAGGTGTGTTGTTAAATCCTTACTCAAGACTTCCATATTTAACAACAAACAAAAAAAGTTTGAGAGATTCTTGTTAGCTTTGCTCCTTTGACTTTTAGCGTCACAATTTAATGTAGGTGATGCCTCCAGGTATACAAGTAATCACTAAAAGTAAATTGTTTTTCCTAAAGATGGGAAGGTAACAAGGACTACTGTCAGTGTAGCTCTTGTAATTTTATGGTGAAAGTTTCTGCAATCCCTTCAATAGGAAATGTGAGCAACAAAAGAATGATATTTCTCCTAAAACAGAGGTCATCTTCACTTACTATGTATTTTACATAGGCCATTCGAAAATCTTTGCAAGTCTTGAGTTGTAACTCTACCTTGCTTGGCTTTTTCCGGAGTTATTATCATCATTATTTTCCCCACTCCCCAACTCTTCCTTTCATTGAATCTTTTGTGGGCCTCTACTTTGAACCAATCTGGATTTAAAATAAAACTTTTTCACCCATCATGAGGGCTCTTTTTTCAAAAAGCCTTATCAGTTCTCTAGTACAGGCCGGACTGTGGCCCCATGAACAAATAAGTTAACACTGCAAGGCTTAAAGCTAAGAGTGGGCAGGAACGAGGGAACCTCTGATGTGAAACTCTTTGTACTGAGGACCTGTTGTTTAAAGCCTGAAGTGTCTTCAACTTTATGGATTGCTAAAACAGGCATGAAGGGTGTGCTGGAGTTGCCTACTGATCTAATTCTTTCAGTTAACCTTACAGATTTTTTTTTCCACCACTGTGATATGAGCTGTGCTTAAAAAAATTTTCCTTAAAACTAAACCACCATTCACTTTTTAAACTAACTTCACAGACAGACAGCAAGCCAATAATGCAGCTGAGTACTCTGCCTGTGCTTCTCTCTGAAGCAAGGTAGCACAGCAGAGAGAAGTGCCCTAGTTTAGTCTCCCAATTTCTCGAGCATGTCAGAGATCCTTTTTATCTCATTTTGTCCACCTCCACGGAAACTGATGCACATAAGAAGGTGTAGAGATGAAAATTTGTTCCTCTGTTTGGCTTTTGGGTGGCGATGGTTGGCATGCAGATGGGCCACGCAGCTCATGCACCACTGGCATTTTGTCTCAACCTTTTCTTGCTTAAGCACTTGACACTACAAATAATGGGAAATGGTTGGAGAAACCAGGGAGAGGCTGGCTGCTGAAAGAGACAAAGAGCTGCCTGTTTACCTCATTTCCCATAGGAAAGCCTTCCCTGGTCTTTTTGAAAAATTTGAGAAAAATATGCACAATTTTCTCTTTTCATATCATTGCAGTTTGAAGGCCTCATTTTGAAAGCTGGTTTGAACTCGATACCCTCCTATGGACTAGATTGACATTTGGATCAAGCCTTCCTAGTAAGAAACAAGGTCAATGCCTGAGAATTCGTGCTTAAAATTTGCCTGGAGTCAAAGTAATTAGTAGCTAGAAAGGCAATTTCTATCGCCATTGGAAACCATTTATTTTGCTACACTGAATGGGGTGAAGAGGTGATGTATGCTGGAAAAATAGAACTGTACAAGGGTACAATTGAAATGCAGTAAGCCAAATGTATTGGGGGTGGCAAGGGATAAATCTAATTCCATTATGTAAAAGGTGTAATTTGCTTTTGAACACAGTCTTAAGAAATAAGCCATTGTTGACATTTTCTTCAGACAGCTCTTCAGATAAACATTGGATCAAACTCATCCTCAAAGTAATCTCTGTTTAATATCACTTTCCTCCATTTGAATGTATCATAAGTGCATATAAAGAGGTGGTTCACATTAATTTTCTTGGGATGTAATCCGGCAAGCATAACAAAGGCAGAACTTTTATTCCCCTGCAGATAAGGATTATTTCACACAGTCCCTTCCATATTTGTTCAAATGTGTCTGGTTATAAGATTGTTTTTGCCCCCATCCTTTGCTACCAAGTAAAAAGCAAAATTAAACTTAGTCATAGTCTGTGCGTTAAAGAGGAAGAAATGAGCAAAAAGCTGCAAGAAGTTGATGTTAAACCTGCTTTTTAGAACAATCTGTGCTTACACGAGATTTTTCGTTTAGACTCAAGATTATTCTTCTTTAGATATGACAATTGTATCATGGTCAGAAATATTATTTGCTTTTCACAAAGTAATATGATTGAAAATTATGATGTTTTTTTAAGCATAGTTTATTTTTTCATGTTTTCATGTTTTTTCATGCTTTATATGCAGGAAAACTCCCACATTGAAA